TCTCGCTCTCTCTCTATATATATATATATATATATATATATATATATATATATATATATATATTTCATTTTGAAAGTGCTATCTGATGATCCAAGGTCCTTTAAAAGGTCTCTGTGAAATAAATTATTATAATGGTACCTTAAATTGGTCTATTTTTCTTTAAAATATTAGCTCTGGATTTACATTGAACTCTCAGGATTTCATCCTTCTTGGGATTACCCATACGGATTACCAAGTTCTTCATAACTTAATTTATATATATATATATATATATATATATATATATATATATATATATAGTTAAATATTACAGATAGATAGATAGATAGATAGATAGATATTATATGAAAAGATAACTTTTAAGTATCAATTTTATCCCGACATCGAAGTTTCTTGGTAAAATCTCCAGTGTTCAGGTGTTGTGGTTTTAAGTGGTATTTTCAGTTTTTTCAGTTTTTTTTTTCACTATCTTCCGTGTCTTTTTCAATTCGCTTTTTTTCTTCGCTTTCTGCACGTGCTTATTCATGTATTTAACGTTTATTTTACACGCACATGTTCATGAATTTTTGCTTTTGTTTACGTCTTTCATTTTTTCAGCTTCAGTTCTTTCTTCCAGTTGTAATTATTTCTTCGAAATTAAATTATTTTTTATTGTTTATATCGATGTTGTTATGTTATATGATATTATTAATTAAATTGTAATATTTGTCCATTTTTATTAATAATTAAATTATAATATTTTAGTTAATATTTTAATTACTATTTTAATTGATTTATTGTGTTACATTATTATTAAAGTAACAAAGTAAATATTTAAGCATAGACGCGTTATTTCATTCTCCTTATGTAATAACTTAATTTTTATTATTAAAAGTTAATATTGTTATTTTTTCTTCTAAACATAGTCTACAGTTCCTATTGGTAATATTATATGGGGTACATGGGGTTATAATTTCACATTTAATTATAGCAGGTTTTTGACTCCATATGTTTGATTTGATAATGTGATATTTGCGTATTTATCTTGACTACATATGATTATTAAATCTTTCCTTAAAAGTGGTTTCTGTTCCTCCTAAGTAAATATTTTCTTCTGTGTTGCTGTCATTGGATACATTTGCTTTATATATTACATTATTAGTTAAACATTTATTATTAAGTGGGCAGTTATTTTTATTTCGATCTGGATGTGTGTTATTATAATTTTTTTATTTAATATTTTTATTATGTTTATTTATTATTATTCATACAACTATAACTGATTTTTATTGTATTTTTGTTAATAATTTTTGATAGTTTACAATTTTTAGGCAAGTGTTTTTCAATTAATTTAAAGAATATTTTTCCTATTTTTATTATACTATTATAAGGATGGTTAAACCAGATTACGTTTCTTTTTCTTTTGTTTTTGTGTATTGATGTTAGTTATGGATTCTAATTTATTTTCTCTTATTTAAACTAAATATTTTTATATTGCTACAATAGGTTGCACTTCTTTTGTTAATAGATATTGGTACATGTTGATTTGAATTTTTGTTTATATATATTGGATAATTATTTGCTTTTCTGTATAGTTTGTATATATTATAATTTAAATTAAACGTTATGTCTAGAAAATTTAACTATTTTTAAGTTAAATTTTATGCTTATTTTAAATCCTAACTTATTAAACATTTTTATTGTTTTCTTATATTTTCTATTTTCTACTGTTATAATTTCTTATAATTATTACATCATCTCTATATAAACTTATATCGTCTTTAATAATAATATTTGTTAAATTATTTAGGATATATATATATATGCCTGTAATTTCGTATATAATGCGCCATCATAATTGCCCATTGTTACGTCTAAGTTCTCATTCTTGTTGTTACTATTGAGTTTTTCATCCATATTTTGTTGTAACCTAGTAATGATTTCCTGCAATGATTAATTATGTTTAATTCTTCGTCTTGAATATTTAAGTATTGTCTTGATAAATTTAATGTTTCATCTAGTATATGCTTGGTAATAGATGGATAAAAGACTTTTATATATAATTGTATAAAGGAGCAATTTTTTTTTATTTGTAATACTGTTAAACCAATTAATGGTTTGTTTTGTATTTTTGCATTGGTTTATATTGAGTATTTTTCAAAGTTTCGTTTTTTATTTGCTTATTTTTCCAATAATAGTTTTTATAGGATTTACTAGTCTAAATATCGGTTTATTTTAAAAAAAAAATTGTCTGTGTGATCTTTTAATTTAATGAATGGTTCTAATTTAGTTAATTGTTTAATTCTATTAGTAGTCATGTAAAACTTATTTGCCTCTTTTTCGATATTTTCTTTAATAATTGGTATATTCCATTTTATAGACTGTTCATGATTTGTTGGCATGAATAAATAATTTATTTGATTTATTCATTGATTATTTACTCATTGTTAATTTACTCAATTAGACATGTCTTATGGAAAACACGCTGCAATTATACATAAAATCGACCTTGCTAACCGAAACGCTCCTCTGTGGCCAAATCGGTAAACCACGTCAGGCTATACGGCGGTTCCGTATAGGATACAGATTCGATTCCTATCGGAGGACGCATATATTCTATTTCTCGGACATTCAGGCCAGTAAATGTTGTTAATACTGTTTATTATAAACAGAGCAATTACTTAAATATTTGTATCCATAAAAAAGAATATATAAACATAAAAATGTCTTAAAATAATTGTCGGACTTTGTCCATTTCATAATGTGTGATGTCATTTGTTTACATTTGGATACGCATCGAGCAAATATGAATGTACGAGGGAAAATCATGGAGAATTGTAGTTTAAAAACAGTAAAATCGACCTTGCTAACCGAAACGCTCTTCTGTGGATCAATCGGTTAAGGCACATCAGGCTAATGGATGGATCCGTACGGGATACAGGTTCGATTCCTGTCGAAAGACGCATATTTTCTATGAAAATTTCTCGGACTTTCAGGCCGGTAAATGTTGTTAATACGGTTTATTATAAACAGAGCATTTGCTTAAATATTTGTATCTATAAAAGAAAAAGTGTAAGCATATATATATATATATATATATATATATATATATATATATATATATATATATATATATATATATATACACTAAGTTATACGTTATTTCTACAGATACAAATATTTAAGTAAATACTTTGTAATAAACGGTATAAATTACATTTACGGGCCTGAATGAGAAATATGTGGCCTCCGACAGGAATCGAACCTGTATCCTACACAAAATCTTCATATAACCTGATTTCTCTCTTCTTTTAAATATATATATATATATATATATGTGTGTGTGTGTGTGTGTGTATATATAGCGAGAGATAGATAGATAGATAGATAGATAGATAGATAGATATAATTAGATATAATTCTTCTTTGCAGAAACTTTTCCATATCATTTAGAATTGATCGCTTCTATTTATGAACATCGATTTTCTATTCCTGTCCCTGATGTTCAATTAGGTTTGAGTCCGGTAACTGAGAAGGCCATTCTATTGCTCGAAAATTATTCATTTCCAAGTGGTTTTTGAAGTATATTTCGGCTCGAATTCTTGTTGCAAGAGCAATCGCCTACCAAGTCCACGCTGGAGACAAGAGGGGAAAAGACCTTTTTTCTTCAAGAGATAGATAGATAGATACATAGATAGATAGATAGAGAGAGAGTAATGGGGTAGGTGCATTGATGTTTTAGCGAATCCATTCCCCCCCTGTTTCCTGGCGATTTTCCTAATAACAATTACGCTAAAGACCCCCACCCCATAAGATGATGTGTCCACCATCAAAATTCACTGTTCGGATTGCTATTTTTACACTCGGTTTTGTCTATATTTTTTTCTCCAAATACAACGTTCATGATTATGCCCCAGATATTCAATCTTTATCAGAACTAATAACTGTATTCCAGTAAATATCTGACATATCCATCCAAAAGTATTTTAGCGAATGTTAAACGAAAATCTTATAATCTAAAAAAAAAAAAAATTTTCTGGCTTTAAATAACCTGCACAGGGTTGATAAAACGAATCAATCAATCAAATACTAATTAGCTACACAAGCATGTCTTTTAGATTTATTTACGTTGCCTGGTAGGTAAATATATAGTAACTCCTTTGGTTATAAAGTGAGGGATCAGTTTACATATTGATCATAATATAAAGTTGACCCCCCACTTTATATTCACATAAATTTCTTGTTTATCAAATTCTGATTAGGTATGAATCCCCCAGCTATGGGTTAATTAGTAAGACTTGTATCACTAAATCATTATTATCTTCGCCCCAAAATTCTTAGACCCTAAAAATATTTTCTGGCTTTAAATAACCTGCAGAGGTTGATAAACCGTATAAATGAATGCTGCAGTTTATGCATCCTAGGCGAGCATCCCAAGCACTGTCATGTAGAAGTTAATGAGTATGCCAAAGAGAATTTTTGAAGTAATTCGCAAAAATGGAGGATTACTGAGAATTAAATTGTCTTTGTGACTTATTTGTTCTGTATTTGTTATTTGTATTTACATGGTCTTATTTTTATGACCAACCAAAAAAATCATTTTTTCAATGTTTGCTTAAATTAATCAATTAAAAGCTTAAAATGTTCACTTGTTTGTTGATAAACTATATTTTCTAATTAAATGTAAATATTTCGCAAATATATTTTGATTAAGTAACAGTATTTTATATTTTTTTTAACCCCTTTGTATCTGGTCTTAAGATTTTGACCAGGGTGTGAATGATTCATCTTCTCCTCCTGCCAGTTATGGGTAAATAGCAGG